ATATATATATATATATATATATATATATATATATATATATATGTCTGTGCACAGCATGCATACAGTGCCTGTGGAGGCCAGAAGAGGGCGTCAGAGCCCATGACACTGTAGTTAAGGGTGAGTCACTCACTGAGCCACCATGTGAGTGTTGTGATTGAACCTAGGTCCTCTGGAAGAGTAAGCAGTGTTCTTAACTGTTGAGCCATCTCTCCAGCCCCCACCTGGTTTATGAGGTGGGGTCTCTCATTGGCCCATGAGAGTAGGCCAAGTAGGTAGGCCGGCTGGCCAGCAAGCCCTAAGGACCTGCCTATCTCCTCCCTCCCAATGCTGGGATTAGACGAATGCTCCATCACACCTAGCTCTGTTACATGGATCTGAGGGACTTGGATCCACATGCTCACAAAACCCTAAGCTTCAAATCCTCCAGAGCAGAACTTACAGCTGAGGGCTACTTCTAAATTTTATCAGTGGAGGCAGAAGTGAAAGGGAATTGGTCTAGACAGTTGGAATCTTCATGTCATGCTTGCTTTGAATGTCTGTATCGGGCTGGCCACATAAATCAGCAAACAACACATCAAAGACAGCACATACTGAGACATCTGAGCTTCCATACACCAGGCACATGGCTGCTTGGAGCTGGAAAGGTAAAAACATCTATGCAGTGGAGTGCAATCCAGCCACGAAAAGGATGGAATTCTAACGTATATAGCTATACGCATAAACTAGAGGGTGTTAGGAGAAGGATACGCCAGCCACGGAAGATGAGTACGTGTGTCGTTCACTCCTGTGTGAAAGCTAAACTCTACTTTTTGAGAATGGAGGGATGGCTCAGTGGGTAAAGATCTTGTTGCCGTGTGGTGGATCTCTAGCACCCATGTAAAAAGCCGGGCATGGAGGTCCGTGTCTGCAGCCCCAGCACTCAGGGACAGGAGGCAGAGGCAGAGGCAGGAGGGTCTCTGGAGCTCATGGGCCAGTCAGCCTAGACGAGTTCCACGGTCAGTGAGATCCTGTCTCAAAAAATAAGGTGGTGAAAGGCAGTGGTGACACACGCCTTTAATCTCAGCACTCAGGAGGCAGAGGCAGGTGGATCTCTGAGAGTTCGAGGCCAGTCTGGTCTACAAAAGCTAGTTCCAGGACAGGCTCCAAAAATTAAAAATTAAAAACCAAAAATTAAAAAAAAA